CAGGAAGGTAATTGTTTGTTAATCGCTTGAAACAGCAACAGATCTGGCAGCATGTAATGTTAGTTTGGTAATGTGAATTAAATATCAACCACCGAACAGGATGTTTATTCCTCTGTGCAGAGTAGCACGGAGAAATTTAATTCTCTATGAAGTATTAAAAAAAATAAAAATAAATGAAAGCTAAATATTTATAATACATTTTATCCAAAATGTTATTAAATAATATATTAATACATATGAAATATATTAAGTAATGAGTATAAAAAAACGTAATTTAAAAATGTAATTAATTTTAAAATTTAAAATTAAAAAAACGAAATTTAATTTAATTTTTTTAATGGTTACATATGTTCATCACATGTATCCTTTGTGAAGTAGGCAATCACAGAAAAATATTAAATATTAAGTAATAAATTAAAAATATTAATACAATTAAACAAATTAAAGCTAAATATTTAGAATAAGTTTTATTAAAAATGTTATTAAATAATATAATAATACGTATTAAATATATACAATATATATATATAAGTATAAGTATAAGTATAATAAAAGTAAGTAATAAGTACTTATAAGTAATAAATAAAAAAATTAAAAAATGAAGAGATTTTTTTTTTATTTGTTACACATTTTCATTACGTATCCTTTGTGAAGTAGACAATCACAGAATTACAATTTCTAAAAATGCAAAATAATTTTTTTTATGAGATGTTGACCACCACATGCAATTAAACAGATTCATGAATTAAACGGGTCATGTCGTATCGAGACCATGTGACAACAATATAGCATGCATACTATTGTTTGAAATATTATGCTTTTTGACATATTATAGGCACTATTGGCTGCACAGTATGCTGTACACTGGTATTTTCTTCTGAACATGGTCAAATATTTGCTATATTATTGTGTGTGTTCTTCCCTCAGGTGTTATTTGTGCCCTAGATATCCTCAGCATACTCCTTATTCCACACACACAAACTAGTGTAGACATCACTGCAGAAGTCAATCAATCTGGAATAAAAATTTTTTTGCAGTGCACATCCTTTTTTTTTTTTTAAACCATGTGCCCTCAAAATCAGTGATAACTGGTGCGTATACAAGGAACAACTGCAGTGACATGATGTACACTGCCAGAAACGTCTTCATTAAAACTTTTACTGCATTTGCTGTTTGAAGACTTTAGTAGCTCCCAAAGTGAAGAAGTTAGAAGAAAGTAGTCCACTTGTGTAGTAGATCTGACATTAGAGAGGAGGCACTCGCTAAGCCTGACTAGATGTTGATCAAAGAAACACTGGAACTGGAAACGCCCAACTGTTCATTACACCATACTGAGTTCACTTATTATTATAGCTAGCTGTTTGCCAAAAAACACAGCCACGGGGCAAACAGGTGCATTTAAATATATTTATTTTCACAAGTTTTTTTTAACACATGTTACAAAGATACAAGAGAGTTCAGCCCAACTCTTGATAAACAATTTCAAAAGCAACTCAGGGTTACAGCGAGTTCTTCGAGGGCCAGTGGGACACTGGGTATTTCCTATTTTAGCTTTTGTTTTGGCAAGAGTCTGCTGCATAATTTAATGACAACATTTTCTGAAAATGCCCACTTTAAAAAAAAAAATAATAATAAAAAACTGAATATTAAATACTATTTTTAAATATAAAAGCCTGTCAAGAACATAGCCACCCATTGTGTGTGTGTGTGTGTGTATATATATATATATATATATATATTGTATATATGTGTGTGTGTGTATATATATATATATTTATTTATAAAAATAAAAGAAAAATAGAGCTTATTTTTAGGATCATTCATATTTCTTACTGAGCCCTGCACATGACATGTGGACAAAATATATTTATTGTTAATTACAAATTTGGTCATCAAAAAAAAAAAAAAAAAACCTTATTAATCGTTTTCACTGGAGGAAGCATTATTATGGGTTATGGACTTGCATTTTGGCCAGAAGCAATGGTTTGAAGTTAAAATCATCTTGATGGATTCCTTTCTTACAAACACGCAGCTTTTGGCTTCACGAGATGTTAATGAACACTCGCTCACTCTACATAATACAGTGAGCTTTTAATCCAGCAATACAATAAGCTTTCACTGAAGCAACTCAACATTCCTTCGTTACTAGTACGAGAAGGCTTGAGCTCAGCTGTTAAACTGTAAACTGGGGATCTGAGTCTGTGGCGGAAGGAAGTAGTTCTGCACAAAAGAGGGTTTTTAAAGACACTCTGTTGTTGTTTCTTAATTATTTACACACTCGTGCCGTTGAACTGTCGTATAAATGCAATATCACACACTCGTAGCCATGTGATATGGCTGTATATCAGCATGCTGTGATTACCTACGGCTGAATCACAGCCATATTCCACTGCTACTCATGTGATATTGCTCATATACACAATATAAATATATATAATAAAAGATAAATAGAGCTTATTTTTAGGAACATTAATATTTCTTACTGAGCCCTGCATGACGTGGACAAAATATGTTTATTGTTAATTAAGAATTTGTTCCCTCATTTTAGTTAAAACATGAGTACATATTCATCAAATTTCCATTTATGGGTGAATTATTCCTTTAATCACCCTGTCAGGTTTATGTAGAGCGTAACAGATTATCTAGGCTACTATCAATCAGTTTCCAACCTGAAAATTATAGTGCTTTTTCACAAGGTTTTTAATTAATTAATTATTTAATTATAAGTATCTGCTAAGAACATTTAAATTATGCAGTTGGTGACCAATGTCCCTTTTTCACAAACTGTGACGACACATTTCCACAGTTATTAACATTGTAAATCTTGCGAAGTTTAATGTATATTCAAAAGTATACTTTTTTGTTATATTACCTCGGTATCAAATTACAGAAAAGTATTTAGCGCTGCTGTGTGAGTGTTTCGGGGAATTATGGAAAATTTGACTTCTCTCTCTTCTGACCAATACAATCAATCTTGTGATATTTGTTTTCATTTTTGGGGAAAGTCATATAAACGGCTTTGTGGATTTTTTCTTTTGCTATTGGAGTAATGCAAAATGATGTTAGCTGTAGTTTCCATTCGCTAATTTAGACATTTACCCAACCTTGATGACTTCTGCTTCTGAGAACCCCGGAAATGTGAAAAGAGCGCAGTACAGTATGGAGTTTTTTTTTACATTAAAATTAAATTGTAGTCTTTTATTTTAGAAAGAATACAGGATGCACAGATCTATCTGCTTAATTAAAGACATAAATCTGAGCAGTATAACATTGAGTTTAGTCCTTATAGCTAACTGAGTGTGGAGGCAAACAGAAGCTGCTGGAAAAAAGCCAACCAATTAGCCTCAGAGTCAGAAAAAAACATGCTGATGTTCAGTTGCTTGCCTTTGTGTGTCTGCTGCTGCAGATTCAGATGATCTAACTGGATAATAAATGATGCACTGTATGGGTGACACGCGTGCTCACCTTTACACAGTCTACATAAACACTGAAGCAGAGCTGTGGGTTGAAAATGTGCACCGTGGCAGATGCTGCTATTAAAAAAAGAGATAAAGACATGATAAGGACACATCCACCAAAGATTCAGATTAATGGTTGACAATGGGATTTTTCAGTATTTGATCTGATCACATTTTTTTCTGATTACAAAAAATGAAGGCAATCTCATTACCATAAAATAATAATCAAAACAAAATATTACAAATATAATAATAATGAAATTGAATAAAATATTCAAACTTCTCATAACCATGTCAAGTAATTGTAATGTCCTACAATTATGCTAAAAAATGACATGGTGTTTCAAATGGCATTCTCATTACTGTATATATTTTAAAATTAAATTAAATTATGGAATTATTCATAATTGTCATAACAATAATTCCACCATTCAAGAAATTAAAGAAGTCATGGCAAGAAATTCCCATGACCTATTTATTTATGGCCTCATTTGAATTAAATCGTGGCCATTACATTTTTTTTTAAATTGTTTTCACCGGAGGAAGCAATATTATTGGGTTATGGACTTGCTTTTTGGCCAGAGGCGACGGTTTTGAAGTTAAAAACATCTTGATGGATTTGTTTCTTACAAACACACAGCTTTTGTGTGTGGATTACTTGTGGATTATTGTGATGTTTTTATCAGCTGTTTGGACTCTCATTCTGACGGCACCCATTCACTGCAGAGCATCCATTGGCGAGCAAGTGTTGCAATGATAATTTTCGACAAATCTTTTCTGATGAAGAAATAAATTCATTTATATCTCGGAAGGTCTGGGTCAGGGGTGACCAAACTCGGTCCTGGAGGGCCGGTGTCCTGAAGAGTTTAGCTCCAATCCCAATTAAACACACCTGAACCAGCTAATCAAGCTCTCACTAGGCATACTAGAAACTTAAAGGCAGGTGTGTTGAGGCAAGTTGGAGCTAAACTCTGCAGGACACCGGCCCTCCAGGACTGAGTTTGGGCACCCCTGGTCTGGGTCTACATTGTCAGTAGTTTTTTCATTTTTGAGTGAACTATTCCTTTAAGACCCTGATGTCAAAAAAGGGTCTTGTATCCCTCAAAAGAGGTTTATTTTGTCATGACAGGCTGAATATACACCATCCTGCTTATTACACAGCTACTTAACACATAAATAAACAATGTAGACACAGAATGTTGATGTGTATTTAAATTATTTTATTATGTGTTAACTAGTGCCGCGCATAAGAAATAGGTTTCGAGGACAAGGGTCAATTATTCAAAAATATTTGACCACAGAAATCGCGGTCAATCAGTCAGAGTCAAGTATCCCAGAGAGCACTGTAGGCGATGAAAACATGGCAAAGCTGCTTCTTTTTCAACTCATTTTGCCTTTTATTCCATTGCATCTGTTTTATGTTGTGTACAGACGCAGGCTGAAGTTGAGCGGTGACGGATTTTACAATTAAATGCAATAGAAAAGAGTTCTTTTAAATTGCAAATTTCACAATCTTACTGTTTTTACTGTATTTCTGATCAAATAAATGCAGCCTTGCTTCTTTCAAAAACATTAAGAAATCTTAATTAGTCCAAACATTTAACCAGTAATGTATATTCCAGTGACAATCAAGCTCCCAATGATAAGGATGAGACTCAGAGTTCATCTGACTCGGGGATAAAAGTGGAAGACATGGATGAAATGGGCTCAAGGGGGATGCTGGGAAGCATCAGAGGGCCGCTGTCAGCCACCCAGCCAGAGGCCGTTCTGTTGAAGGTGGGCCGTTTGACCACGGCGGGTGCTGCGCCCATGGGACTTGGGAGGCCGGGGTTCACATCCAAAGGTTTAACAGGGACTTTGGGTGTCTTGCCGAAACCGCCGAATGGAATAGCCACCCTTCAATCAGAGGAGTGACAGTACATGAGAGCCTATGGTTTTATTAGACAACACAACAAAAACAATCTTACAGCAAAAGGGGTGGCATATAATTCAAAACCCAACATTTTAGATAAAGGTGTCTTACAGAATGACTCTAAATCAAATACTGCTGGATAGCATCTTTTTGCTCATAAAACATGTTCTTATGTACAGTAGAGGAAGGTTTCCACAATTTGACAAATATTCTTCAAAGTCGACATGAAACAGCATTTATAAACCATTTTACTTTGTATCTGCATATGCTGCAGGATGTTCAAAGAGAAAAAGGGCCAATTATTATTTTATATTAGATATTAGAAATTGATGAAAAGTGGGCATTACATAACAGAACGGAGTGTAATAGTCTAAACATGATCTGCAGCAGTGTTGTTATTGTTAACTAAAACTAATAAAAAATTGTAATTGTAATATAAACTTATAAAACATTGTTTAAAATATAAATATTAGATGGAAAATGGAGGCTTGCAGAGATTAAAAAAATAAAAATGTGTCCTTTGCAACTAACTGAAATACTAAAAAATACAAAAATGGCTAAAATTGAAATATAAATACATTTGGGATAAATAGAAATATTTAAAATAATTATAATAATAAAATGACAAAAAAACAGAAATACTAAAACTGAAACTAAAATTATAATGAAAACTGAAAATATTTATATATATATGTGACCCTGGAGCACAAAAGCAGTCTTAAGTCGCTGGGGGATATTTGTAGCAATAGCCAAAATACATTGTATGGGTCAAAATTATTGATTTTTCTTTTATGCCAAAAATCATTAGGATATTAAGTAAAGATCATGTCCCATATAGATATTTCGTAAATCTCCTACCGTAAATATATCAAAACTTAATTTAGATTAGTAATATGCATTGCTAAGAACTTCATCTGGACAACTTTAAAGGCGATTTTCTCAATATTTAGATTTTTTTGCACCCTCAGATTCCAGATTTTCAAATAGTTGTATCTCGGCCAAATATTGTCCTATCATAACAAACCATACATCAATGGAAAGCTTATTTATTTAGCTTTTGGATGATGTGTAAATCTCAATTTAGAAAAATTGACCCTTATGACTGGTTTTGTGGTCCAGGGTCACAAATAGTAGTTCAAATATAAATATAAATATTAATATTAATAAATGCTCTATAAATAATACTAAAAATACAGGTACTGAATTTTTAAAATAAATATGCATGGAAGATTTAAACACAGTTTAAGAAGCAGCTATATTTGCTATATTATTTTCTTACCTGTTGAAGCTCTTGTATTGAGGAATCTCTGGTCTGGTTTGGGGTTCAGGCATGCGGGCGACCAGCGTTTCGGCCAGAGAGGGGTCACTAATGAGGGCCTGTTCCCAGGGCGACTGGTAGGATCTGGGCATTGCTGTACAGTTGAACTTCTCTGCTGGAACATCCTTCAGGGGACCACCGTAACCTATTGAACGCATGAAAAAAAAGATTTATTATATGACATGGTACATGAACCAAAAACCCTTGTGAAAAAAAGTACACTTTAGAATGCTTTTAAAAAGAGACGTTTTCACAGAAATAATAGATATTTTAAAAAACAGACTTAAGTGTGAACTGAATATAATGTTTTCAGACACTTGCATGTTATTCGCAATTAAATGAAAATGTATTATAGTTTAAATGTATATTAAATGCAATTAGCTGAACTTTGCTTTTTGACCCACTTACATAGGACTTAAGTACATTGTTATATGTAATGTCATAATTTGATTGTCTTTGAAATATGGTTAAAGTGTACTGCTGAATGTACTGACAAGCATATATATATATATTAAAATATATTTTAATGTAATTTCTACTAATGTAATGTAGCATCAACAGCATTAAAAATAAATAATAAAATAAAGAAAATAGATTAAAAATAAAATCCAGTACTTTACATGTGCTTATATGTTCGTCAACAACACATCAAAATAAGTGTACTTCTTTAAAGCATGACAAAGGTAAAGTTTTAAATTTGACTATTGCAAAGTGAAAGAGAATTACACTTTTTAAATTAAAAAATGTTGGTAATACTTTTTAGGGATCAATTCTCACTATTAATAACTAGTTGCTTATTAGCAAGCAAAGTACTAGCTTATTGGCTGAACCTAAATTTAACAATTACCTTACTAACTAATAAGCACTAATACACTTTTAATAAGGTACCCAAATTAAAGTGTGACCAAATTCATAATACAAAAATATTGTAAAACTGTCTTAAAAATGAAAAATAAATAAATAAATACACACACGCACACAAACACGCACACACACATCTGGTCAGCTATCCTTGTGGGGACTCTCCACAGGCGTAATGGTTTTTATACTGTACAGACCGTATACTCTATTGCCCTACACCAACCCTACCCCTAAACCTACCCCTCACAGGAAACTTTCTGCATTTTTCACCCACATACATAAAGTATTCACTTTAAGTACACTTAAGTATTTTTTTTTAAATTATTTATTTCATTGATATTATATTATCTGCAAGTACATTCTTTTAAAATATATTTTGAAAGTTTGAAGTATACAACAAGTGCACATTTAATACAATTAAGCACACTTCTTTTTCACAAGGGATCATTTTACATGACTTGAATAACAAAAATGCTGATAAACAGAACGAAAAACACAATCAGGAATTAAATGATAGTCCGCTAAAGACAACTGCAAAATAATCGGCGGTAAGAACTGCTCAAGTATAAGATCAGGACAAAGCACATGTTCGGAAATGAAAAATTAAGCATTAGCAGAGGGAATACACACATGGCCTGCTTTGCATGGTCTAGAAACACACTATATCACTGTTTACACATACTTTTCATTGTTTTGTGAGCTATCCCTTAATAAAAGTGACTTGACCACATGTATGCCTTCATAATGTAAGGCAGGCATCAGCGTTACCAGTGCAGCTCACTGTTTATGGCATTGATCCCACTTGTTTGCATTGCTAGTGAAGCACAAAATAAATGAGAAACTAAAAAAAAGAAGTGAAAGGCTTCACAAGGTCCTAAAACATGCTGTGGAGGAATACAGGGTGACCCTTCAAAATGAGTATCCCTCAAACCGCTGTTCACTGGCAGGGCCAGCAAGCCCAAAACAAGAGTTATGTAATGTGGGTGTTCTGTCACATATCAGCCTCACGCTGAGGACAGTCTCCTTCCTGAGTTTATCGGCCTCAAGGAAACAGCACAAAACGCATGAGCTTCAGCGCTGAGGGTCTGAGCAGTTCAACGGGCCTCAGAGAAACTTTCAGAACAGCAGGGGAAATTCGTTTTTAGACACTGTTTTCATGGGGCAGTGCGCTGACACATCAAGACACTGATGAGCTATGAAAAATTCTCATTAGGAGGCAGTTTAGGCTTGCTGACTAGTGACACAGAAAAAGTAATTGGTTATTAGAAGGATTAAAAAATGTCTAAAGATAGTGTTATTTCAGCCTTGTCAGTTCAGTTTTGGTTTAACATTAAACAATTTTTACAAATGAAATTAAATAATTTATAATAATGTGTAATATAAGAAAATATAATTAAAATAAAATATAAGTAAATACTAAATAAAATATAATACAATAAAATTATTAAAAAATAATTAAATAATTAAAATGTTCAGTTTTGGTTTAATGTCTACAAATAAAAATTAAATACAATTTTATGGTTTCAGTTTAACATTATTTTTATTTTATTTTATGGTTTTGGTTTACCATTAAACCATGTATACAAATAAAATCAAATTGTATGGGTTTGGTTTAACTTTGCACAACAAAACAAAACAAAACAAAACAAAACAAAACAAAACAAAAAACTAAACTAAACTAAACTAAAAATAAAAATAAAATAAAATAAAATAAAATAAAATAAAATAAAATAAAATAAAATAAAACTGCATAGCGTGATACCAGTGGATTCTATCTCTCACACTGTAGGACTTCATCTGATTTTAATCTTGTTTATTTACTATCAGAAATTCAACTGCTGGTCTTTGTATCTTCCCCTCCCCATCCAAATGAGGTCTCAAAGTCACTAAAATAGCAGGACACACTGTAAATATGTGTTCATCCACTGATGATGAGGAAGGGTGGCTGAGCCCCAAGGCTAGATGAGACCATGGGAGTTATAAGGATAGGATCTGTTTAAGATGTTATCGTGGTCAGCTGCTGCTCTGTGCCATCACTTAAATGAGACAGGAAACACTTAACACACTTCCTGTTTGGGCACTACGGCCACCGTTCACACAGGAATTACATGCTCAAGATGTAGAATATGTAGTTTACAGCAGGTAGCACAAACCCAAAAATTGTAAATGCTACATATAATTTCTTAATTGAAATAATGTATATAAAAAAACTAAACAAACAAACAGTTTATTCATATTTCAAATAAAACCCTTGAAGGGTCCACAGGGGAGAAGAAATGAGAAAATAATAAAAAGGTGGAATTTTGGATGAAATTTGTCGCCCACCAGATTTTTATTTTCTGTTATGTTTTGAACACCATACACACTTTTTAACAACTGAACACCATATACTTTTAGTACTACATATGAGTAGTTTTGTCTAATTATCTGAGTTTTGAAACTTGCTTGTTGCTTGGTTTTGAAAATTGGTTGTTACGTAACAAATAATCAGCTGTAACATATTGCTGGTTTTATGTTTTAGTACTTCTCTTGAGTTTAACACCTTTTTTCTCTCCTAAAAAAAAAAAAATCAATTGTTACAACAAAATTCTTGTCACTTGACATTAAATGTGAAACAATTTTAGTACAATTTATTCTATAATAATGTTGACAGTTTATTAAAACCCTTTATTATGATTACTAAATATTTACTTTTAACATCACCTATAAACTGTAATAATAATAACAATTATTATTAATATGATATTTTTTTAAAAGAAGCATTTTCATCCTCAGAATGTCCTGTGGTCTATGTGTACTAAGTTTTGTTAAGTTTGGGCTTTGCATTGAGCAAATACAGGTCAGAGTCAAAATGGTCTAAGGCAGACCATTGCCCTTATATCTTCCTCAAAAGTATTTTGATAACCTTCATCAGGGTCTTGATCTAGTGACCCATGCGAGGATATGAAACCATCCCACCAGGTTTGAGATCTCTATACAGTCTCTGACACCCAGACATTTTAGGGCAGAAAAATGACAATAGGCAAAACAGTACAAATGCAGTGCTCGGACCCCTAAAAACATGATAGTATCAAGAAATTGCTGTGGACTAACCTGGGGCAATAGTCTCAGGGTTGAGTGTATTTGGTACCTGGTCATCTCCAAGACAGCATTCATTATTTAAAATGTTTGTCGTTTTAGCACTTGGGCCCAGAGAAATGGCATCAATCTGAGAAAAGAAAAAATGGAATGATCACTCCATGGAGCATTTGTGGTTATCTGGATTGTATATGAACCACACACATGTGTAACAAATGACTCTCACATTGTGCTGAGTGTTGGCTTCATTCTGAATACTTTCAAAGGTGTATTTCTCTGAGCGCATCTGACGCATCTTGAACAGACGGGAGCCCCTGTTTGATGCTAAGGAAAGTTCCTCTAACATGATCTCCTTCGGTGCGCTAACTTTCCTCCCTAGATCCATCTCTGGTTCTGTGGAAAAGAGTAAAGAGTAAGTTTAAAGGTGACATATCATGAAAATCTGACTTTTCCAGGTTTTAAGTGCTATAATCAGGTCCCCGGTGCATCTACCAACCAAGGAAACGTGAAAAAGATTAACCCAGTAACTTTGTTTTGGGACGCCTTTTTCTGCAAGCGCCTGAGAAAACGAGCGCGTCTGATTTTGCTCCCTTAGTGACGTGGTAAAGGCATCTCATTATAATATTACCGCCCCTTAATCTGTAAGTTCCCACCCACGGTGCCGCCATTTGATTTAGTAAGCGACAATGGTGTAGCAGTCCTAATTCCATGATGAAAATTTGAGCAAAACATGCTAACTGTTCTGTCTTTGGCTGCGCAGACGAGCACAGAACACTATTTAGAGTCCCAGCCTCAGAGGAGACAAGCAGTGAATTTGATTTATTTACTGTATATTACTACTGCCACACAGATCTAAAATAAACATGCAATTTATTTTCCAGCTGTTTACCTTCTCAGATATAACCGACTGTGTTTTGTAACTCATGTGTGTTTTTAACATAAACTTGTGTGTGAATGAGAACTTAGTTTAGTAATCACATGCTGTGACAGCCGCTTTCTGTCCGTGTGCATCGGTTGTGTGCGCTCAGAAAACCGTATCTCAGAAGTTTAAACTCGTATGGTTTAAAACGCATGATTTCAGTGCGATAAACATAATAATCAGAACCAAAACAGATGTTTTTAGGAGGTCCGAGTTGCAATGGCAGCTCTATTCTGGAAAAGGGGGCGGGGAGCAGCAGCTCAATCGGTTGTGTGCGCTCAGAAAACCGTATCTCAGAAGTTTAAACTCGTATGGTTTAAAACGCATGATTTCAGTGCGATAAACATAATAATCAGAACCAAAACAGATGTTTTTAGGAGGTCCGAGTTGCAATGGCAGCTCTATTCTGGAAAAGGGGGCGGGGAGCAGCAGCTCATTTGCATTTAAAGACACAGGCCCGAAAAACAGTGTGTTTCTGCTTTCACTCAAAATAGGCATTTTTCAAAATGATATTGTAAATGATCTGTGGAGTATTTTGAGCTGAAACTTCACAGACACATTCTGGGGACACCAGAGACTTATATTACATATTGTAAAAAGGGGCATAATATGTCTCCTTTAACACAAAATTCAACAACTGCATTATTTTGAAAATTAATATCCCCCTTCAGTCACTAATTTGATCCCCTAAACTCATCTTTCATCCCCCCATGAAAATAATGACGTCTTAAAATGGCTTGAATGTAACTCTAGGTGGAACCATGAATATGCTAATTTGTCCCTGCCTCCATACACCCTGAAATGATGTCGTAAACTATGGAAGACCATTTTCACCACTAAATAAGTTGTGACTTTTTATCTCACAATTCTGACCCATTTTCTTGCAATTGCGTGATATAAATTCGCAATTCTAACTTTTTTTCTCAGAACTGCATGTTATAAACTCACAATTGCAAGTTATAAAGTCAGAATTGAGGGATATAAACTCGCAATTGAAAGAAATAAATTCAGAATCACAATATATAAACTCGCAATTCTGAGTTATAAAGTCCAATTCCAAGGGGAAAAAATATTTTCTTACAATTGCAAGACTCCAAACTCTGAGAAAAAAGTCAGAATTGCGAGCTTATATCTTGCATATGTGACTTTGTAACTCACAACTGCCAATTTCTATCAAGAAATACTGACTTTATAACCTGTGATTGTGAGTTTATATCACTCAGTTCTGAGAAAAAATCAGGATTGCGAGAAAAAAAGTAATTATTAACTCGCTTTATAATCACTGAAAGCTGTCACGTGATCTCCCAAAATTAGGGTTAACCTAACCCTAACCCTAAACATTTGATGGAAAGTTATGAAATTTGACACACAAATAGAGGACAGTCTCAATATTCACCATAGCAAATCTGGAGTCTCTATCTTAAACTCTTTAGCGCCACCAATAGGCCAAATTTGCATTCATATTTCTGCTAATAACTTTTGAACCGTTAGGTCTAGAAGCAATTTTTTGTCCTCTGATTCCTTGGCTCATGCTGAGTCAAATGCATACCTATGGATTTATAGATTAAATATCTATATTAATTTAGAATTTTGCAAAAAATCTACTTTTTCGAACTCGTCCTAGACGGTTTGTCCGATTTTTACCAAAATGGGCTCAGATCATCTTCAGACAATGCTGGCAAATGTAGCCAAGGCACTCGAAAATTTAGCAAAAAAAATAAAAAGCCTTTATTCACATGGCTTTACATTAAAAACAACTCTGAAGCGTTGCGGCTAACAAGCCTTCATCAGGGTGTCAATGCTGGCAAATAGTTATCAAAAGATTTCCAATAGATCAAACCGTTCTTGTAAAGTGCGTTAACAAATTTGACGAAATTTGCGCAAAAATTGACATGAAGCTATATCTTCTCAACGCTTTAGCGGATTCTGACCAAACTTGGTCCGTGTTATACCAAGCATGACCTGAGGGCACATGAGGAGTTTCAGCACAGTGCACCACCTACTGGTCAAAAGATATAAAAATCTTGTTAGATTCGGAACGGCATAACGAATCGAATGATTCCGTATTTTCGTATGTCCATTTTGAGTTTTGTAGTAAAATGAACAAATGTCTTTAACAGGGGTCTCCAACCCTGTTCCTGGAGAGCTACCATATTGCAGAGTTCAGTTTCAACCCTAATCAAACACACCCGAACCAGCTAATCAAGGTGTTCAGGGCTGCTTAATTACAGAAAGGTGTGTTCTGAGCTTCTTGTCTTCCCTGCCACTCCGACTCTACAGCATGATTTCAACATCCAGCTAGGTTCATCAGCAATTACGCCCCCAAGTTCGGTTAGAAATCTTTCAAAAACCACATTACAAAAACCGCTTGATCATGTAGGTTTGCATTGCACAACATCAGAAAGATCAGGCCCTTCCTAAAGGAGCTTGATGCACAACTTCTTGTCCAGGCCGTTGTCATTTCTAGGCTTGTCTACTGCAATCCTCTTCTGGCTGGAGTTACATCATGTGCAATCAAACCTCTACAAATGATTCAGGATGTGTATAGAACAACCACGGGCTCAGCGCCCTTCTACTTCCACTCACTCTTACGAATCTACATCCCCTCTGGAAGCCTGAGATCTGTATAAGTGAGTGATGCCCCGTGGTACCATCACAGAGAGGCGCAAAATCACTTTCCAGAACATTTTCATCATGGGATTGGTTAAACATTTGTGACGTAGGAAACGGGGGCTGTTTCAAGCCGCCTTCTTTAGAGTCTCTTTGTACATTGCCGTTTTAAGGAGAAAATGCTCAGCAATGGTTTTGATTGATGAATTAGCACATGATTTGTCTTTAACACTTGTGCGCTCCTCATTTGGGAGTCACACTCATGGTCTTCGCGGTCAAAAGTGACCGGACACCTGAAATTTATTTATTTTTTTTCTTTAGTGAAATCAATCTAATATATTTTTGTTCAATAATATTTTTTCTTTTGTATTTTGAGAGAATTTTATGGTAATAATTCATATTTATGCTATAATTATTATAAATTTTTCCCATTTAAAATGTTCTCTAATTTTTCAATCAACTCTGATTAAAATAGAGACTAGGCCTTTAAAATCCATTTTTCTGAAGGCAGATTAGCACCTCCTGGTGAGAGCAAAGAAAGAAAAACATGTAATTTCATGATGTAACCACTAGATGCCTGTATAGGAATCTATAGAGAGGCTTTTGAATTCCTAGTTGTTTTTATACATAATTGTTTACTTTTATTAGGTTGTGGATTTAAATGTATATTAAGGCATTCTCAAAGACTCCTTTTTGTCAAGGTTTATATATTTTTTGGTTTTTTAAATGTTGATTTGAAGCGTCAGTTTTTCAATTATTATTACTACAGTCAAACCTGAATACAGAAAGCCTTTTGTTATACAAAACATTAAAATTCAATAAAAATGTAACAAAAATAAACATGAATGCTTTATCAGAGCTTAATCCTTCTGGGCCTGATCTGATTTTAACCTCTTATTTCAGTTTTCTGACTCATTTTGGCTATATGGTTATAGCCATACCAATTCATTTGAGTGTGTATAATTGTGTGTGTGTGTGTGTGTCTGTGAGTGTGTGTGAGTGGATGTGTCTGTTTTGCACTCTTGATGTTTTCGAGTGTAACCCCTTCCTTGCTGTCCACTTTTTTTCTGCATCGTGGGGGACTTGTAGATTGTACTCACAAAAATTGTCTGTATTTTCAATTTTTTTTAGCCATTTCCCCCGTTCATTTCCTATGGCCGGTAATTTTTGACCGAAGACTATGAGTGTGACTTTTTTTTTTACGAGCACTTAGCTTTTTCGAATCATGCCCTCAATTTTTGTGTGTGTTCACATACCAAGTGCCATAAACGTCACCAAGTTTCGTACCATTCCGATGAAGCTACGATTTTTAAATATTCAAAATGTAAAACCGAAGTCAAAAGTGACCGAAGACCGCTAAATATATAAAAAATACCAGACAGACAGACATGTAAACAATGTTAAAAACTTGAAGCAAACTTTAAGTATTCAATTTACAATCTACATGGTGTTCTTGATCATTGCGAGAACAATTCAATTTATTTGTAGCCTATGTCAGCTGTATTTAGGCCCAAATTGAGTTATTACTGACGGCCGTAATGCGGGTCATTCGGGTAGCTCTAAAAGGCGTATCAAAGGATGAAAATGTATCCTGCTGGTATGTTCTTACAGCTGTCAAGCATCATCTTGCAGTCAGCCGCCAGCCAATCAGTTATCCCCTCCCCGAAATAGAATTTCAAACAGACAACTACAAAAAGATTAGTTGCTCTCTGTAGTAATTCATTTCTACGGATTAGTATTTTTAGCTGTCTGGGGTGTGGTTAATCTAATCACTAGTAATACGAATACACAAACCTCAACAATGTTTAAACGTGTTAATAGTTAAATATACAATAATTAGCCTAGGTTCACAGTAGGTTTATAT